GAATTGAGCGTGCCTAGCGGCATAGCCAAGTTTGCTGATGACGCTACATTGTTCAAAGTGGTGAAAACAAGGGACACTGAAAAGCCCCAAAGGAATCTCTGCACATGGACATCAAAATGGCAGATGTCATTCAACATGAACAATTGTAAATTGATGCATTTTGGAGCCAAAAATCCAAAATACTCAGACAAACAAATGGAATCAGAGGGAGCACTGGCTAACGAGGAAAGAGATCTTGGTATAATGATGAACAGTTCAATGCAGGTGTTGACAGAGTGTGCGTCCACTAAAAAATGACCAATAGCACGTTAGGGATAATAAGAAATGGTACTGAAAAGAAAAGGGGCAATGCCCTCATATAAATCAATGGCGTGACCACATCTGGAAAATTGTGTGCAGTTCTGGTCGCCATCCCTCAAGAAGGATGTAGTGGAGCTAGAGAAGGTTCAGAGGAGGGCAACTAAGATGATCAAGGGGTTGGAGCAGCTTCCCTGTGAGGAAAGGGGGCAACATTTGGGGCTTTCCTGCCTAGAAAGGAGGTGAATGATTGACGTGTATGAAAGTATGCATGGCATGGATCAAGTGGACAAAGAGAAGCTATTCTCCCCTTTCCAAAATGCTAGAACCAGAGGTCACCCAATGAAACGGAATCCTGGAAGAATCAGGACAGAAAAACAAATTAGTTTTACACATCATTAAACTTTGAAATTCACTATCATGAGGTGGGGTGTTGGCTACCGGCTTGGCTGACTTTAAAAAAGGGATGGACCAATTCGTGGAAGGGCTCTTAGCCTTGATGGCAGACCATCTGAAGACCATCTACTGGAAGACCAATGGGCGTCCTTGTGCAGTTGGTTGGGCACTGTGAGAACAGACTGCTGGACTGGATGGGCCAGGAGTCCAATCCAAGGAGGCCACTGCTTATGTTCTTACATTCTAAAATGCCTGTTGTCACATCGGATGGCAGCAAACCCTACAATTCAACTATTAATGTAAATCCCAGCCAGTTGCTGATATTACTGTTCTCCTCCCTCCTCCCACTTTCATTTTCTCCCAAAGGTGGTATTGCTTGCTTTGATTCTGGCTTTTTTTACTCTTTTCAACCCAATGGAATATGATAAACTAATTCCATGGCTGGCTGGGGAATTCTGGGAGTTGAAGTCCACGCATCTTAAAATTGCCAAGGTTGAGAAACACTGGTCTAAAAATTGAACTGAAGGAGACCGATTTTGCCATAAGTGACAAGCCATCGAAAGAAAGGTCAAGTTTTAAATGAGGCTGGACCTAGCCAGAGGATGCAGCAAAAAAATGTGACAAATGTCCCCAATGCATTCCTGGGGGATGCAGCTGGGCTCATGAAGTTGACGACTCCTCTGTCCAAACTCCTCTTCCTGCTCACATGTCCCACGGTGGAGCCTATGCAGAGAAACTTCCCAGTGTCTTATATGAATGACAAAACTGGGAAAGGTGAGAGCAGGAATTGAAAAAGAGACTGCAACACCAACTCATTTATTTATGTAGACCAGCGTTTTTCAAACTTGGCAACTTGAAGATGTGTGGACTTCAGCTCCCAGAATGGAAAAAATTACTGTAACCAATTTGGGGAAAGGGGGTTTAGTGCAGCGTTTCTCAACCTCAGTAACTTTAAGATGGGTGGACTTCAACTCCCAGAAATCCCCAGCCAGCAGAGGTTGAGAAACACTGATGTACATGAATCACTTGGTTAGCAAAAGAAAAGAAGTGTAGAAAGTAAAAACAGAAAGTGAAAAAAATCTGGGTCACTGTTAAATATTAAGTCAAAAGTATGGTGAGTACCATGTTTATTTAACTTATAGCCAATTATGAAGAAGTAAAGGGGGTAGATGAGTTTGGGGTTTTTTGTGGAGGGTCAATAATTGTTAATAGATGACAGAGTACTGGGTTACTTTGGGGATAGGTGGGGTGAGGTGTTCAGGGTGCAATAAGCATTTGTAGATCCTGCTACCAACTCCTGAAATAGTGGTTTGAGGACACAGATTGGAGAATTGATGAACTCCTGAAGGAATCTAATTATGGGAATATTAAACAAAAAAGGCCTGAGGCTGGATTGGACCTATGACTTCTCTTCCAACATTCTGGGTCACTTGTAGACCAGCCAGATACTTTCAAGAAGTTCACAGAGAAGATGGTGATAGCCCTCATCCAGTTACTCCCAGGAGATGGCATTGAAGACATTCTGCCCGTGATGCTGGGGTAATGAGCTTCCAGGAAGACTATTAGTTCTCCAGTCTTACATCTAGTTTTAAATCCATCTATATTTAATAGTTTTAAATCTATCTAAATGAATAGCCATCACAGACCCTGATGGCAGCAAACGCCCGTCTGCCTTTGCTTTCAACCACTGATTTTCTGCAGAATGAATGAATGAATGAATACGTCATTCAACAGATTTTATTATTGCTATTACAGGCTGATCCTGAAGGATTGAACCTATGGGCTACACATGCCTTTCAGATTTTACGACTGATTGGCGGTCAACTGTCTTCATAGTAACGTTGTTTCAGAGCTCTGTATTTTCGGAGGAAGTACAACGCCTCCAATTCTTTAATGACAAACTCCCCTCGGGCAATCAGTTGCTTGATTTGTTCGGGATCCTTCACTTCCTTGTTTTTTAGGAAGGCTGCCTTGAGTCGGGTTCGAAAGTAGTCAGCCCCTTTGGGGTAGTCTTTCCCAAGATACAGCAGCTTCAAAACACAACAAAACGTTGAGCATTACACATTCAACAGTTTTTATGTAGGTCCAGTTACTCCGCCTGGCCTATCCAGGTGCTGTTCAAATTGTTGGACATAAACTCCCCTCTGGATGGGGATTATAGGAATGGAAGTCCAACACATCCGGAGGTCACCCAGTGGAGAAGGCTGGGTTACTCCTTAGAACTTACGTTTTTGTAAAGATTCAACACTTCATATCTGAGAGGGTTGGCCATGTTGACAGTTGAGACATATGTCCGTTTTATTCATATGGACTGGCATAGTTACCTGAAGAACAATCATTTGAATATTAGCTGCGTAATGAGATCTGAACAGTTGTCTATTACTTATTGATTGGTAAAAATCACCCTCTCAGACTCAATTAATTTCTTTCAATTAAACACCAGCCTGTTTCTCCACCACTGTGATTAAATCATTGAATGGCATTTTACTTTAGTTAATCAAAAATAGCCTTCTTTCACCCTTGGTGACTTCACAGAGATGTTATACAGTTTTCTTGGCAACAGTACAGAAGAGATAGTATAGTACAGTACAGGATCACTACATTCTTGCCTAAATTTAATAGGAGTGGACAACTGAGTGGTTGTTTTCAATGAGTCAGTCCCAAGTAAGAAAAGTGACGAATTCAAGCAAATAAATACATTTTAAAAAATCATTAAACCCATTGCTCCAAATGAATAGCACAGTTTAATCCACAGAGTATTGACTTCAGTGATTTGTGTCTTTAATATTATCATTATTCCTACTGTTAGGCCACTAATGTTATTGCATCACATTTTGTGAACATTTATTCATTTATGAAACGTATAAGCTGCCCCAATCTGTTATGACTCCCGGCAACTTGGAAAATATACCAAGATACACCAAAACACACACACGCATAAAATCATCAAAAATTTGGGTGCAAAACAACAACAATCATTAAAAAAACAAAACAAAACCAGATCACAGAAGGGGATCCATCACAGACTCTACCCCAGAACCTGCGAACAGACCAAGGTTTTAAAGGCTCCATTAAGATAAGGTTGGGGGGCAGATGAATCTTGGGGGAATGGTGTCCCACAGGTGTCTTGACAGAGAAGGCCCACCTTCTGGGTCCCACCAGGTGACATTGTTTAATCAATGGGACTCAGAGCTCGTTGACTCGTGTCAGACCGTGAGGGACAGGTAGAGATTATGGGGCTGACATCATATACTTAGATAATCCAATTTCTCTTGAACCCAATCTCTCAGCAGGGGGATTTCAAAACTGGATTAGCTGGTATGGAAGGAAAAAAAAACTATATTCCAGCCTTATGAAACATAGGTTTATGGATCAATGATAATAATACTTAAATTTATAATTATTTATTAAGCTGATAGGCTGCCCCAACTCCGGGCGGCGATGGTTTGTACCAAAGGCCAACGCTTTCCAGGAGCTGAGCGAGAAGCCTTGGGCCACGAATCCAACGGGCAGCTGGAAAAATCCAAACAGCTGCCAGTGCATGAAAGAGGCAAAGGTGGAAGTGGGAGAGCAGAGTCCAGGTTCACGAGGAAAGGATCTTCCCGGGCAAGAGCGCAGAGGAATTGGCAGAGAAAAACAACCACGGCTCAGTGAAAGGAAAAAAGGATTGGCTGGAAAAGGCATAAAAAGTTATAGGGAAAAGTTACCGCAAGGAGGTGACCTGCCCTAACCAGAGGGAGGTGGGGTAGTGGCGAAGAGGCCGCCCCGAGAGCAGGCAGACTCAGGTTCGAGTCCCTGGGGGACTTCGGCCCAGTCCTTCTGGGTTTCCCTAGCCAACCTCACAGGGTTGTTTTAGGCAAAAAGGAGTGCTGTGTAAGCAATTGAGCGCCTGCCTTGGGTTCAGTTATATATATGCCACTGAACCCAGCTAATTCCTACGGCGGTAATCAGAGGCTTCCTATTCAGCAGTCAGCACGGCTAGCCAGGCTGGTCTGTGGATGATGGGAGCTGTAGTACTCCAGCCTATCTCGAGGGCTGCAGGCTGCACGTTACAGCTGCCCATCAGTAAACCAAGGTCCTGGGAGTCTGGGAGGCCCCCACCCGGTGTGAACACAGCCGCCCACCCGCCTTCGCCCTTCGGGTTAAAAGGCACTCACCACCTGCGCAGTCCTCCAGCTGTGACCCGCCCAGCTGTTCGCAGGGCCAAGGGCGTCCGGCGGCTCCTGCGCCTGCGCACGAGCCCGGGGGCGGAGCCGGGCGACTCTTCGGATGTCCTGAACGGCGTTGCGCAAGATTCGCAGGCGGGGTGGAGATAGAGATACGAAAGGGAAGAGGGGTGCCGCCGGTTTTGGAGAAGAGCCACGTTGGGCTGCAGGGAGGTTAGTGCTGGCGGCTCCGTTCACACAGCGGGCAAAGCTTGGTTAATCTTCAAGGGCGCTCATTTTTTTGTTTTTTCTGCGTATCCCAAGTTAATATGCCGTGCGCACTCAGTTTGGTGAGGTGCGTGGCGCCAACTCCGAAAAGGGGTAAATTCAATTGAAATTGAATTACAGTAAGGTTAAATGATGCGAGAATAGACAGGGGCGCCACTGAGGCTTGCATCCCTATTCTTTATTTTTATTATATGCCACTCATCTAATATGTGCGAAGAGAGATCTCTTTGGAGAAGACCCTGATGCTGGGAAAGGT